AAAAAATTAGATCTAGATGTTTGAAATTTAAGTTATTCTTATAAAATTGAAAAATTACCCATTCATATAAATAATTGTCAAGTATGCAAAATATACAACTATAAATTTTAAATATTAACTTGTATTTCTATGAAACAAATTTCTATTTTACTCAGATATGTAAGATATGTTTTTAATGATTATTTTAAAATATGCAAACTCCTAGAAGTCCCAAGCCCTAAATAATACTAATTATACTTATAATTATTTAAAATTACGTATGTTACCATTTTACCAAATATTGTTATCAACTTATAAGTCAAAACTGTTTTAACAAAGAATTATATTAATAGTTTGGTTGGTTTGTAGTTATAAATAAGTAATACCTTAAGTTAAATCTAAACTATAATTATGTACTTTAAAAATGTCATTGCCAGAAGTATCATTTCAGAATTTTGCATGGAGTGCAAAACAATTTACCAATTGTCATTAATAAGTAGTGCTATTCTCAAAATAGATACCATTAGAATTAAAAATTATTATTTAACATTACAACATTTTAATATTTATTCATCTTTTGTGACCTCGTTAAGACATAATTATATCAAACTATTTTTATTTGAACAATTTTATTCAAAATTATATTATTAAAATGTGTCTTAGAAAAATGACTGTAAATATTATAAAATATATTTTACTACAACTTAAAATTTTCATAATTTGCTTTAAAATAAAAATATTAAAACTAGCTTATGTAATACTCTACAATAATTATTAGTTTTATATTTGATAATATCAGTAGGTTGATTTACTCTAATATTAAAAATAACAGAATAAAAAATTATTCTGAAACATATAATTAGGTGTAAGTGTTAGTTAGATGGAGACAACACATGTGGGTATAGTGTATTTTTAAGAGGTTTATATTTTTGTACATTAATTTACATTTATATATCCCAAATCCTAAATACCAAAAACATATTTAATGAAATTACGTTAAAATTATCCTATTCAATTTGTCTTATAATGAATATCAGTGTTAATATTTATTAAATTGTATAACTTTTTTTATATACAGGTAAATACAGATGTACATGATGTATATTGAAGTTATAAGTTTGTATGGAAAATTAGTACTTTATTATTGAAATATGAATTAAATAAAGTTACTCGCGAGCTTTCAATATATTCTTAGGTCAATGCTATATGCATAAATGTGCCTTTGTCAGTTAGGCTGGCCTATAATATTAACACTCTGTATGTCACTATAATAGATTCATAATGCTAAAATATTATTAATTTTATATTATTTACTCTTATACATCATTTTTATTTTATATGAATTGAAAAAAAATAAAAAATTTAAATGCCCTAATCAAATTAGACCTATTTTATTATGGAACCTTTCCTTGAAATTTAAAATCATTTTTTCTTCTGTAAAGGTTTATTCTCAAAAAATATATCATTGAAAATAAGTTCATTCATTGCTCCACTTAGAATCTAAAATAATAAATTTATGATTTTGTTCTAGTTAAAATTTTGCCTCAAGACTGTATTGACGTAATTAAGGGAGACCCATCTTTAATATGTGCAAGGCCGGATCCAAAAGTTTATCGATGCCGTAAATGCCGGTAATATTTTAATCATAATTTTTATTGTATTTTAATAATCTATAAATATTATTATTATTTTAGAAGGATTTTAGCTTTACAATCAAATGTATTACCACATTATGTCAATGAAAAGTTGTCATGGAAAGATTCAAAATTGTCTTCAGATTATTCAGGCTTCCAAGTATGTTCAGACACTATTTTTGTTGAACCAATGACTTGGATGTCAGTAAGTCAATCTGAAAGTGGAAAGATTAACTGTCCAAAATGTCAATCAAAACTTGGCTCATATAGTTGGACAATGGGATGTCAATGCCAATGTGGAGCCAAAGTATCTCCAGCATTTTACTTTGTACCTTCTAAAATAGATTATAGTGGATTTTTGCAAAATGTTCAGGCTACAGTTTAAAAATTTGTTATCTTGACAATAATATTCTAAATAAATATCAAGTGTTATTTTCTTGTTAATAGTTATTAAATTATGTTAAATTATTGATACTTAAGACAATAAATCCAATATACACATAACCAAAGACCCTTTTATCTATAAAAACTGAAATTAAATTTTTAGTTTTATCTATAAAGTACTTCCCACTTACAAATATTTAAATATTTATGCATTTAATAATATTATACCAATTAATAATTATTACCTTATTATAACTCCTAAGTTTGAATTATATTTGTATTATTTTATTATTGAAATATCTGATTGTTGTAAGTATGCACTCAACAACATATATTAGTGAAAATACTTTAGAATAGTTAGGTATTATTAAAGTCTGAATGAAATACTGCCAAAATATTCAGCTAGTTATTTTTAAGAACTTCCTAGTGATCATGCCAGTGATGTTCTACAATTTTTGATAAAGCTAATTCTTTTAATGTAAGCAATTAACCGAATGAGTCTCACTTTAATTTGTGTAATAGATATTTTTAAATTACCTCAAATACTTATCAATTTAAATGAATAACTAAGTAAAAAATTGTATTTGTAGTATTAATATAAGCATTACTTATAAATATTTATAATCAATGGTATAAGTAATAAAATGTTTTGATGAATTTGTATGTGTTTATATTCTGCCATTGTTCATAATAGTAATGAAAAATAAAGTACTTAAAACTAGTATTGGAAATATGTATTACATTTTTTTTTTTTAATTTAAACTTTGTTAATACAATTAGTTTTAAAAATTATTTAATATAATATAATAGTTGTTTACATTAAAAACAAAAATAATAACAATATACAATTAAATTAAAAAGCCAGTATGGTTGGAGAAAGAAAGTATATTTAACAACATATTTTTTTTATTTTTTTGTTGATTTGAAAAAATGTTTATAGTACCAAAAGGGATGTAGGTGATCACAATGTGTTGATAGACTGGGACAGAAAAATAGAGGTGGCTGATATCATAGACTGTTGTATAATTTTTTAGTGTGCAGAAAGTGGAATCGTTCAAAGATAGTTTAAAGGCATGCAAAGGAAGTTTTATATGGCCAAACTTGAAACAGGACAATAATATAATGCATTTCCTTGAGAAATTAAGGTTGTGGAAACAGTGTTTTTGGGATGGTTAGGGAAATATTTCTATATTATATTATTATTAAGGTGTACACAATGTGGCATGACCTCTTACAGCTGATTGTAAAAGGTGAAACCACTTGGAATTTAAATTGTAGTTTGTTAAATGATAAATAAATATTTTGCATTTAATATAAACAGGAATTTGTTTTTTTTAAGTGTCCGTAAAAAAAATATTTATAAAATTTAGATTAAAATACCTATGCAGAAACACTTGTAACTTCTTTTATTATGACTGAGGAAATATCACGACAGCAAGAGAAGTATTAATTATAAATGTTTTATAATACCAAAATTTGGTATGGTTATCATAAAATGGTATACAATTATTTAAAGCTTTGAGTCTTAACTTATAATAATTTTACATATTATTTCAACATCCGTGTAATATTTTTAATATTTACAAGTAAAAAAAACATTCTATTTATGATAAAAGTAATATTTTTTATTCTAATAACTAGTTATTTTAATATTATTTTATTTAAATCACTGGCATAATTAATGAGGCAACATGATGTTTTAATCCAAGACACTCATTAGTTTTATATTTTAAGTTATTACAAAATTTCTTGGAAAAATAAAATTATATTAACTTTAATCACTTAATTGTATGCAGGAATTAAAATCTAAAAATTTAATATAGATTTTAAATACTGGTATAATCCATTAATAACCAAAAGTGAAATCATTGAAAACATCAATACCGGTTATTGAATCTTAAATTAAAACTATAATATTGAATGTCAGTATTTGAGTAAAAAATTGAAATTGACACAAAATTAATACCTCCTGGCAATCAAAATTATTTATGATTTCCGTCCAGCTTTTTTGGAAGTCAATTTACCTTAATAATTTCTTAATTAGAAGTAGAATACTTTTGGAATAAATCAATATATAAAAATCAAGTTTCAAAAAATTTGTAAATTAGTAAAATATGAAAACTTTTAAAAAAAGTACCTATAAGAATACAAAAAAAATTACACACAATTAAATTATTTATTAATTTTTCAAGTATAATTATAATTTAAAGTAAATTTAATGGCCTAATTAGTAACTTGATGCTATGCAAATGATTTTTTTGATGTAATTGTTTAAAAAAAAGTGGATTTCCTTTAAAACAATAAAAACAAAAAATTAACAAAAAAAAAAAAAAAATAGTAAATTTTCAGCAAATAATACACGTTAATTACTATTTTAGTTAAAAACATTGTTCCTAATTAAATAACCTTTTTTTTTTGTAATTTATCAATTAATTGAGTAAATTTATATATTATATAAATATATACATAATATATAAGACTAATTAGATAAATAACTAATTTGAAAAAACATAAAGGATTATTTAAAATAATGATTAAAATATTACTTGTTGTTATAAAAATATATTTAGTACTTTTTCAAAATACATCATTTATTTACATACATATTACATTCATATACATTTTCAAAATTTAATTCAAAAAAATAAATTAAAATACAATTATATTTACTATGATTCATAATTGTTTTTCTCAAACTAAGGTTAAAGAATAAGCAATTTAAATGGATAATAACTTTGAAGTATTCACTATTATCCTAGTTGAATATTCTTCTACCTAATAAAACAGAGATACTTAGAACTATTAGTTTATAATCTACTCGAATATAAATATTTAATGACTAAAAACTCATTGTGTACAAAATCTAAATGGATATTACATTAATATTATAAAATAATATTACATTTAAATAAACACAATATTTGTCAATTACCATTAATATGATAATATAATTAATGTGAACAATGATAAATTTAAAAACAATTGCATAATATGATTGTTAGTTTTTATATTATTTATGAACAAAAACTATTACAATTAAAAATGTATATTGAGCAAAGTTTTTTTTACTCCATCTGTACTAGTCCAAAGAATATCAGCATTCAGTTTAGAAGATTTTAAATAATTTAAAAACTCAATAATTGAACCACCTACACCAAAATAATAATTTTTAGCAATTAATAAAATACTTCCTGATGGTTTTAATTTTTTTTCAAATAAATTAATAAGCTTTGCATAATTGTTCACATTATAAATAGTTTCTGATGTTAAAATTAGATCATATTTGTCTTCTTTAAATGTAGTAAATGATTTCCAATCACCTGAATAGTACTTGCAATTATTTAATCTTTCTTTACAATTTACTAATACGTTATTCATAGTTGTATTGGTTAATACTTCTTTATTAAAATCTTGAAAGTCAACATTCCGAGCTCCAGAGATCAATGTAAAAATACCTAAAAGGCCAGTACCACAGCCTAAATCCAAGACTGATTTTTCTTTACAATATATAGTGTTTTTATTTAGATATTCTAAGAGGTCAAGAGTACATTCCCAAAGTTTAAAACCTCCTTCATAAGTACCAGGAATGAGATCCGAATTGTAAGTATTGGGAAATTCATGAATCAGTTTTAAAGACTTATCTCCAATAATCAATTCTGTAAATGGTAAAGTAGTTAATGTGTAAGGATTAATTAACTCTTCTGTTTTGACTATTTGATGTTCATTTTCATTAGATACAGACTCATCCAAGTTATCTGCATTAAAATTGAACTTGAACATTATTAATGATTTTATCTGAAAAAATAAATATATATTTAAGTAATTTATGATAGTATAAAATATTTATAGATTATAATTTACTATACGAAAAATAAAACTACTTGTTAATTATTTTATTTTATTAAGGTTATACCGTAATTTAAAAAAATTATATATGTATACACAGTGATTTACAAAGCATGCTTACCTCCATTTGTTAATTTAAAAATAAATTTATTAAAATTCTTAATATTTTTTTGTATAACTTAAGTAGTATCATGTAGTTTTGTGATGCGAAAAATTTGTTTTTAAATGAGAACCCCTTATTTACTATAAATTATTCAGTGGCCAATTTTTTTGAATATTTAAATAAGTAGTTTTTTAGTTATTAAATTTTTTTTAATAAATATAATAGTCCTCAAAAATATGTTTTAAACCACATACCTCCTTTATCTTCCAACCTATTTTCTATAATATACAATGTTAAATTGATCAGAAACTACTAAATATAATTTTTATTTTGATATAATAAAATATTTAGAAATGTATTCATAAATATTTTTCAGAAGAAAAGGATGGATGTAATTTAAAAAACAGAATTTGGTATCTTCACAGGATACTCTTTTTAAATGGTAAAAAACACTTTAACATAGGGGTAAAATGGGGAGGTAGCAAGGAGGATATTGCCTTCCTAGAATAAATTAGAAGAGGCAATGCCCTTTTGATATTTTACATACCTTCATCTTTCAAAATAAATACAAAAACTACTGATTATAGCTATTACTATAGAGTATTTTATTTTAAATCTCAATTTTTAATTTAAGTTTATCTACATTAATTATGTTAATAAATAATTTTAGATAGTAAAGTGTCGTTTAGCTGCAGGCATCTGGTCCATAGTTGTGTGTTGAGTATACCTTGACTAACACAAGCAGTGTTATCTTAGCTCTGAATATCAAAACAGTTTTATAAATTTGATGGGTATAAAAGTTTTATTTAAGATTATTAATAATGTTAAAAATGTAGGTGGTGTACAGTGTTATAATGAACAAAACTCCTCAAGACTTAAAAAAGCATGAGCAATTGTCTATTGCTTTTAGGTACTATGATAAATAATTAAATGCATTAGAAAATGTTATTAATTTTTACAAAACAAAAATAATAAATGGTAAAACTCTTATATTTATTAAAAAATACTTTGCAAGCTTTGGGCTTAAAAATTGAAAACATGAGAGGACAATGCTGCTACAATGGAACTGCCTCAATATGTGGTTTTTACACTGGAATAATTAAATGAATATAAGATGAAAATAAATTAGCTTTATAAGTCCATAGCTTTGCACATATACTTAACTTGTGCATCGTTGATATTGGTGGAAAAGAAACATGTTTAGTACATTAAATAAAATGTGTATATTTATAGGCGCCTCTTAAAAAAGAAAATCAGTATTTGAGAGTTTAAAAAGAGTTAAGTGTCAAATAATACTCTTAAACCACTTAGTGGCATGAGATGGAACTGTTGAATTAAATCTATTCTATCGTTTTTAACAAATTTTAATTTCATTATTTCTACCTTAGAACAAATAAATGAAATAGATTCCATTCATAGACCTGATAACGAGTTCATTATTAAAAATTATTCAACTAATAGTAAGTAAAAAAAAAAAAAAAATGCTAATTACTCAACTGTTGGAATTTTAATAAATACTATGTTATTGGAATTAGAATCACTTTAAAATTATAATAGTTTTAACCTTTTTTGGACTGAAACTAAACAATTTGCTACCAAAGAGGATATTAAATTGCTAGATATTCTAAGAAATAGAAAAATTATTTCTAGATTAGGAGGTAGTGAAGTTAAAGCAATTAATAATATATCATCTAACTTCAAACTTAATATTTATTTTTCCATTCTAAATATCATAATCAATGACATAAAAAAAAGATTTGAGGAAAACAATATCATAATACTTAATGCTCTTTAAGTTGTTTGAGCTACAAAAACTGTTGCAATGAAAATATCTGGGAAGTCTTGTAACACATATTATGATATTATAATAGATAATTTTGAGATAGAGTTAAAAGTTATTTGGAATTAACACAGTACTCAAAGAGGCAGAAGATTACAATTAATATAAATTTGTTATTATTCTAAGTATAAAGTTAATTGTACATACCTACTTACTTTTTTTATAGTCAGTTTTTTGTTAGGAAGTTATAGAACATTAAAGTTTTTCAATGTTTTTAATGTACTTAAGTTTATTTATTTATTTATTATTGATTTATTTCATTACTAGCTAATAGATATCTCATACTAGTATACAAGAAAAGTAACACATATTTCATTAAAAGTAAGTAATATTAAGATTTAGTTTGACTATTTATTCCCCTTCCTAAAAAATTTCCAAGTTATGCCCATGTTAAGAACAGTGATCACCAAATATTATCCGGCTCGCAGACAAAAAATAATTTTTTCAAATATTACAAATATTTATTATTTTTTTAATGTTTAAAAACAATAGCAAATAATAAATAAAAAAATAATGTTCTCATTACATCCAATTTTAAAACAATACCTATTATTTAAGCATTTTAACCAAACCTATAACAAAAATATGTACTTAAAACTTTGATGGCCCGTGAAAAATTTTCAGTTTCTTAATATATCCCATCAAAAATATTAATTGGTGAACCTTGGTCTAAAATTTAAAATTTTTCTTGAAATATATTTGAAACTTTCAAAAATCAGGAATTAATAACTGTAATTTAAAAGAAGAAAAAAGAAACATGCTATGTGAATCACTCTGTATAAATAAAATAGTCACAGTATTTAGTATTTACAAATTTTTATTTTTAAATATATTATCATAACTAGTTTTATTTTAATTTCTCTTAAATGTTTTATTTTTATTTTATTTCTTTACAAATTTTTTTAAATATACTTTATCAGTGAGATTATTTAATTTATAATTAATAAGCAACAAACGATGAATAGACTAAAATAATTATAGTATAGGTACTATTTAAAAAATAAGGCTTTACAATTAGAAGATATATATATTCTGTATTTAAGTATTATAATTTAAATAAACATAAAAATATCTCATATTATAAAATTATGAAACATGCGTTGAAATAAGTAGTAAAATCTGTAAATGTGAGAATATGGTTACCATTTATATATTATAAGAGTTTATTAAAATATGATTGCGGTATTTATCTAATATAAAAACTCATTATTTTAATTATTTAAAAAAAAAGGTTTAGCTAGATAATTAACAACTATGGTTAATTTATGAATCAAAATTTGACTATAGTCTGAAAGATATTGACTATTATTAATGAACTTTCAATTATGCAGATCAATTTGTAAATACTATAAATTTTACAAACAATTAAATAATTATAAAAAATATTAAAATCTAAATCTAAAAACTAAAATTAATATTTAATTTATATTTTTCCACATAAGAATCAATAGATTCTATATTAGTTATCTACAAGGTATTATTTAAATATTATATTCCTTTACTTTAAAAACGATTTTAATTACTTAAATTTCTGTAACCCATTTATAATATAAATGCTAAAATAAAAAAATAAAAAAAAAGATATATAAATTAATAATTATAAAATTCAGCATGTTGTTACTAACCTGCCAACGATAGTAAAGCTGTTTATAACATTGTACAAAATTAATTAATTACTCAACACAGAAAAACAAAAATTAGATCCTCACGTTCTTTAATTATTCTTGAAACAATTCTTACAGAAGCCATTAATTTTTAAAATAATCGAATTACTACTCACTAATCACTAATCAGTTTAGGCCGGAATAAATTCTGTGGTAAGTTAAAGTCAAAGAATTCGGTTTTTCAAAGATGATAATATTAAAGATAATACTGTTTTTTTGTTATTATCAGTTATATACAGTGGTGCCATTTAGAATATGTTTTGTTTCTTAACATTAAATTAAAATAATTTATGCAAAAAAACATTTATTTAACTTAAGGGTAGAAACAACTTACTAATTCACTTCCATGGATTATTGTATATTTTTTTTGTCCTTCTTAATCCTTTTAAGAACAAAATTTTGAAATGACAATAGCTTTAGCAATCTTCAAAAATTAGTCAACATTTTTTTTTTTGAAAAATATTCTGTCTGGTAAAAATAAAATATAAATGTTACAAATATATAACAATATATAATGTTATATATGGTGGTTATAAAAAACAACAATATATTAATATAAGTTAGGAAATATTTTTTTTGTAGTAATATTTATAAACTATAATTTATTTAATTAGAAATAACTGAATAAAAATTAAATTATTGATCTTCTGATTAATTGTACTTGGGTTCACATAGGTCATAGACAGTGCATCAAGGAGGATTTAATTTGTATTTTTCTAGTAAGACAACAATTGTTTTACAATAGAACATATGTAAATGTAAATAAAGTAATATATACTACTATTATCTCAATTAATCATCGTAAATACTTTAAAAAGCTGACATCTCTTTTCATATTAAAGATTTTATATTTCTACAAAAACTAAAACAATTATTCAGAAAAACTATAAAAATTATTATTATTTTTTTTTAATAAGATTTATTTTATTTCACTATTTTATCTTTTATTAAGTATTATAAAATAAAATATTATCTATATTACATTTTAAACTATGAAAAAAGTAAATCATCACTAATGGCTGATTTTATCTTATTATTGGTACTTACTAATTATATTTACAGCATCTGGAAAATTTATTGTAAAAATAAGTTTAAAATATTTAAATATATTTTACTTGATCACACAAAATTATTTTAAAATTAACTAACTTTATTATGCACAATATTTATAATATTTTACAACAAATATTAATAATTAATCATTCAAAATTAAAATTTTAGGTAAGGGGTTTAAAAAGTATAAGTGGTTGACTTTATTAGACACTATAGTTAGAACAAAAATGACTTTTATCCAAATAAATAAAGCAGAATATGTACATGCATAAGCATTAAAAATTTACAAGGAAAATAATACAAATATTTTTATTTATTTTTCAACGGTTTAATCAAATATTAATTAAAATTAAAATTATTTGAAATACTTAAAAAATCTACAACTGATATAATTATCTAATAAATATTATTGTTAAATATATAAAAGCATAATGAACCATAGAATTTATATACTAAGAAACTTGGATATTGTAATCAATATCATTATTTCAAGTTTAGTGTAGTATTCTACAATCTTACATGTGCTTAAATAAATACTTAGGGTTTAATAACTGTATAGAAACTGTGATCTGTATTTCATATTGTTAAATTATGAAAATAGGCTACTATTCAATCATATTTTTTTAGATATAATTGCTTTTACTAAATTATTTAAAATAAGTTAAATTCTGTCTACTAAACACAAACAATGCCATTATTAAATTAATTATAGATAATATAAAATTTAAAAAAAAAACCAATTGGTCGAGTTAAATATACTAAAATAATTTATTATAGTATTATATTATAATGTAAATTAATAAAATATATTATGAATTGAATACTGAAATGATTAATTACTAGAAAAACACAAATAAATAATACTGAATAAATTAAATTATATACTGCAATTCAAGAAAAATGATTAAAAATCAATATTATTTAAGTAAAATCCTAATATTATAAGTTAATCAATCGTCATGCTAAGAAAAAAAAAAACAATGTATAAAAATAAATATCCATGCAAAAAGAACATATTACTAACTCAGAATTTAACCATCTAAAGAAATAAAATGAGTATTGATTAATTAATAATATTTTTTTAAATATACTTAGGTTATACATAGCCCTAAGTTCAAACTTTATTTTAGTGCATTTTGTTTAACTCCTTGACTTACTTATTAATGATTTATCACTATCATAAATTTCCAGGGATAGATTGTTGAATTTATGGACTCTCTAACACTCTAAATTTAGAGAAATTCATTAAAAAATAGTTAAAAATTAAAACTCAAATTCAAATACTTTGAACTCAACCAGTTTAAGAAAAATTAAATTAAAATAAAAACTATTATATAATACATATTAAATATTAGTTCATGAAGCATAGAAACATTATTAATATTACAACTTTTCAAGGTTTAAAATAAGAGTTTATTTTTATTTAAAATTAAGTTGAATTAATAAACTAAAATTCAAGTTAATTAAATTGTAATGTTCAAATAAAAAAAAAAAAATTCAAATTCTTGTTGAAAAAAATATTAGTTTATCCTATCCATATAACTTATTATACATTATTAAAATTTTCAATTTAGTTTTTAATCAGTAACCTAATCTATATATAAACAATTTCCTTGTTTAATTCTGTGTGTATTTACCATAAATCATATAAAATTAAATAATAAATTATACTATGAATAAATAGCATATCCCATTAAATTAATATTTTTATAAAGCTTTTTTTATGAATGTATAATTTATTAAATAACAAAAGTTATTTAACATATTAATAATAACTTGTTTATTTATTTTTATAATCACACTAAACTTTCCAATGAATTAATAGATATTGTAAATAAAAGATAGCAGAAAATGATATATTTTTAATATAAATATAATTTAATATTACCTTTTAAGTATTGACAACTAAAACTTTATGAAAGTTTTAAAAGAAAAATCTAAAAACTAATAGGTGTTTTTTTATTAGTTATCTGACTTGAATGAGGATGATGATAATAATATACTTACTACTTTCTTTTAAGAATAAGGATACGATAATCTAATGTAAAGTTCTTATTACATTAAATCAGTATACTTTGTATACTGCAAGTTGTTACTCATTTCCTAAAATTTCAAAATTTCAAATCAATTTAAGATATTTATTACAATAATTATAAATATATATTTTGATTTGATACAAATCTGGAAGTCAGGTCAAAAAAAATTATAAATATTGTACAGTTCTTCAATTTTACACTATTTGTATTTATTTATTTATTTTTAATGAAAGACAGGAATAAACTTAAGAATCCACTTAATGAAAAACTTATTTCATAAGTGTAGTAATGTGTATAAAAAACACACAAAAAATAGATTAAATGTTTTGCATAATTATGTTTAAATAATTAACACTGTTATTATAAGATGAAAAAAATGTCGATTACAAGTATCTATACTCAATAAATTATTACACGCTATATTTCCTAAATTAGTTAGATATATGTTGAACGATCAAACACAAACATAAATCATAAAATGGGTAGTTGGACTACAATATGAAATGTATAAATAAAACTCAATTAACTAAATGATCCATTACTCCTAATTCTAAATAAGTTATTAAACAGTATCATTAATTTTTATATCAATCAAAAAAAAAAAATAATAATAATAATAATAATAAAAAATAAATAAAATCAAATTAGTATATGTATAATTAATTGTTAATACTATCTATATTCTAATGTAATTTGTGGATGTCATCTAAACCTATCTTTTTATTATTTAAACCTAACTTACTACATACTCTTTAATTTGGAAAATTTGCTTACAGTTCTGAATAATACTGACTTTTTATCTTTACTACTTTTTAAGAATAATTATCACTCGCACTAAAATGTTGTAATCAAAACATATATGAAATAGAAAAAAAATTACACACAAATCTTTAAGCCTAAATGCCTTTCATTTTTGTCAATATAAACTGAGGAATAAAAAATTTAAAAAAGATTCCTGATGGCCTGCACAAGTTTAAATTTCTGCGGGTTGGAATTCTCCTGACCCAAACCCCTTATGTAACATTTTGGGTCAGCTCATACTTTTTTTAACCTGTACACAAATAAAACAAATATTCTACTTTAAACCTGTTTCATAAATAAATATTTATAGTTCTAGTTACGACTTAGAGCCAATTGTACAACATTTCAATAAAAAAATTTAATTGACTACTTTTAAATTGTACAAGACACAATTTCATTATATATAACTATATAGTTAAATAAGTATAATATAATTACAACTATAAATTGGTTAAACTGAGTGTTTAAATGAATAAATAAAATTATCAAAAATAGCAATTCAATATTTGGAATAGTAATTACTTAAAAAAAAAAACAGGAATTATCATCTGTATGGAGAAACTAGTATCAATAGGGTTTAAAAAGTAGTAAACTGAGCTGGGCTGAACATGTATAGACACTTAGAGGTTGATTACCTGGAGAAGTTACAAATCAAAACTAACTTCAAAAATTCCAAGACAACATTTTAGACAAAGATATAAGGACCAAGGAGTGGGAAATGACTTAAAAAAATTAGGATAGAGAATAGAAAAAGAACTGTTCAAGGAGAAAAACATTGCAAGTGAATTTTCGTGACAAAGACTATAAATGGACTATAACCCTCTCCCCCCAAAAAAAATTACTAAAAATTATCTATTACATAACTCAGGCAAGATCCAGAACATATTTACGGGGAGCATCTTGAATAAAATTTCAGCCTAAATTTAACAAAAACAGTGTAAATACTATGTAATCTAATAAGTAAATATTATTATTTAAATTCCAATTTATCAGTACAATAAAATAAAAGGTGAATAATTCTTAGGTTGAATTAATTTTAAATGAAATATAAACATTTTAAATAAAAAAATTAAAAAAGTAGTCTAAGGAGGGATGGCCCTTTGCCCACTCACTTGGATCCGTGCCTGACATAGTTGCTGTAATAGTATTTAAAAAATATAATTTAGATTTTAGAATTAAGGTAGTATTAAATAATAATAGACCACACATTATAATAAATTTGTCATGTAATATACTTTATAAATATAAGTTTTAACTGCAGGACAGTTTGTTGTGAATAATTAATCAATGTGTTAACCCTATTTATTTTTTCTACAGATATAATATTATGATAAATTAAAATACATGTCAATAAGTCTACTTTAGAAGTATATTTTTTTAATTAACCCTTTAGTTTATAAATAAATTGTTAAAAAATAAAAAAAAAGACTAAATATATTTTTTTGAAATTAGTGGTTTTAGAAATTTATGTTATAATGGCTCTAAGTGTTAACTCAAAATGAGTATATTTAAGTTTTATAATAAATTATTTAATGTTAATAACTGATTAAAATAAATATTTTAAATTTACCTTACATAGCTAGTATCTTCCTCTTCCACCTCGTCCAAAAGTACCTCTGTTGCCACCACGACTTGGATTTCCAGGACCTCTTCCAGATATTCCTCTTACTGGGCCACCTCCTCTTCCACGAACACCTCCTCTTCCTCTTCCACCAAAACTACTTCCTTCACCACTGGCAAAATTACTGCCACTAAATCCACTACTGTAGTCATTGTATCCACTGTCAAAACCACCTAAGAAATAACATAAACATAATTAGTAGAATAGTATTATAGAATAATAAATATAGTTTTGTGTTACTATTGTAGGGTCCTGGTCTAGCAGCTCCACCTCCTCGCATAGGGCCATTACTTCCTCTTATAGGTCCAGCACCAAAACTTTGTTGATAGCCATCATTGAAACTATTATCCCAAGCACTAGTTGAAGGGCCTCCCCAATTACCTCCTCGAGAACTTGGGCCTGATTCCCACGGATCAGGATCATTACCACCTAAAATGTTATATAAATTATATAAAATAAATATATATGTGTTATTAACAAGCAATATATTATAAATTAATTTAACAATTTTTACTTCTCCATCCTCCACCTCTTCCACTGATTCCAAAATTCCTCATTGTTGGTTCCCAGGCACTTCGATTATCACTACCCCAATTATCTCCAGAATTACTGTTATTTCTAGCATTTACTCTAGCCATTTCTTCTTTACTCAATGCTTTTTTTACATCAATTTTTTTTCCTTTTATTATATGCGATCCTTTTACTATTAAACAAAGTAATATGAACAAATTAAAAAAATATTTTGATAAGATACAAGTACTTGAAACTTACAACATATTTTATCAACAGGATCATAATCATCAAATTCGACAAAACCAAATCCTCGTTTTTTGCCTGTTTCTTTATGAACAACTAGGGCAGCAGAAGTAACATTACCATACGGAGAAAAATATTCTTTTAAATCTTCTTCAGTAATACTGTCATTTAATAGACCAACAAACAATTTTTTTACCGTTGCTCCGGCTTCAGGTTTTCCAATATCCTTTAAAAAAATATATATTTATATTAAACAATAATTAATTATTTTAATCTCAATTAAATAATATTGTATTACAGTTTTTGGAACAGCTCTTTTAGGTTCTACTGTTCGACCATCTATCTTATGAGGACGTGCACCTTGTGCATCATCAACCATATGAGCAGCAGCATAAGTTATAAAACCAAATCCTCTTGATCGTTTAGTCTGTGGATCTTTCATAACAACAACATCCATAATTTCACCCCATTGTTCAAAATATTTTTTAAGGTTTTCATCAGTAGTTTTGTAGTCTAATCCGCCAACAAATAATTTACGTAAATGTTCAGGTTCCCTCTAAAATAAAAAAGGAAATAGTTCATATTAAATGGAATACATTACATTTTTATTTGAAAAAAGTAAGGATATTTTAAAAATTGATTGAAGGATCAATAATTGATGGTGAATACTGAATAGTATTGCATTAATACACAAGTGTAATAACTTATAAACAATGTCAGCTAAATTTAACACTACTTGTTTTCTCTATGTTAGAATACAAAATTACAGAATATTTTGATGTTACCAATAATCTTTGTATGTTTGCACAATTTAAAATGTTATATTAAATAATGTTTTCTATTACAGAATTACAAACTGAACATAATGCTGGAAAAATATTTGAAATACTAAGACTATAATATTTCAGGGATAAAACTCTATAGTTCCAATAAAGAACAATCACTTTTAATGGATTAAGAATGATGTAATTGGCAAGCAAAGAACCAAATAATCAATCTAACACCAGGTGAATGATGGAAATGTACAGTACTAACAAAAATCAATCAGTTCATAAAATATTTTCTTTTGGACCAGAGTATATATTTGAATGAATTCCTATTGTATAATAAATAGATAGCAGAAGTTTTGGATAAAAACATCATTAATTATTATTAGAAATTAATTTTAAGTAAAATATAGAATAGAATAGAAAGAAAAATGTTTAATTTTTTTATTGCATATTTACTTAGCAGATAATTTGGGTAAAAATGTATTTTGAATACAAAAAGATTATGTTGATTATATATATAATATATTAATATATAATAAAAAATTGTTATTTTGTATTAATTTGAATAGTTAATTAAGTATTTATTTGAATGTAAATAACTAATAAACCAAAATATTAGAAACTACCACAGAAATTAATTTTCACAATTCAAAATTGCCCATCATTATTATAAATTAACAGTAATATTTAATCATCATATATCAACAATTTTACAATACAAATAGAGAGTACCAAGATTTTATTAATACTTTGTTGTAAACTATCAAAAATTATGGATTCAAATTATTGAAAGGGAATAAACCTAGTTTTAATTAATTATATTAATTGATAGGCAATTATTATTATTTCTTATAAAAAATTACATTCATAACAAAGTTTGAAACGTTAAAAAAGAATTTAAGCTCATTGAATGATTTATTTGGAATATATACATATCAAATTTGAACACACAATAAAAGAAAATGCGTGAATACATATTATTATATTAAACAATATTAAACATAATTGAAATGCATTCAGGAGATTAATATTCTTAAGCTACTTGTTTAATTAAATATGTATAATATTACCATGTTAACAAGTCGTACAAACTATCTTCAGTGGATTCGAACAAATATCGTACAGTTAAATGTCTTGTAGTAAACGCCAAATAAAATAACAAATTAGATACGACTAGTGTTAAAATTAATAATTAATCAGCAATAAAATAAAAAAAATTAAAGACAGATAGATTTAAGGTTGACAAAAAGTCCAAGTCGTGTAGTATTATTATACTTATTACTTAAACAATCCACGGGATTAATTATTGTTTACAATTATTGAATAAATCACAGAAGCGTCAGCGTAGAGAACGAATAATGAAACTTTGAAACGTAAACATAAAACTAAAAACTAAAAAACAAACACCGAGTTGGCGAATTATCCATTATCCAATGCCTAACGCTACCAATATGGACCGGCGGTAGTGGTAAATCAGTGTAGTCACTAACCACAGTAAACTTTAGCAAGATAGCACTGTAAATTAGGACCAATTTAAATTTGAAAAAAGCGCGGTTCTTTCAGTTGAATACAGTAGAACTCCGATTATCCAAACGCCAATTAACCGGATAAGAAAAAAAATGATTAGTTTTTTAATAACTTGTAAATCGTAATTATATTTTGTCGTTCTTCATAATCGTAGTCGTAGATTAGATAAAAAATAAGTATTAGAATTTTGTATTGTTCGTACTTCGTTGTAGTACCTAAGTCAGTTGTTTTCTTATCGTTATAACGAGCGAATTTCAGTGTTACAATGCCGTTTAATAGAAAACGTATAGTGCAATTAGTGCATACTATGAAAGAATTCAAGTGGATATCATTGTGTGAATATATACATATAATTATATAACTTTTAGTATATCATATATCAATCATCTGGGTATTTGCATATCTGGATCACCCATGATATAAATTAATCCGAATAATCGGAATTCTACTTGTAAATATAAACTATAAATTAAATCTTTCAAAAAAATATATTTTATTCTCATGTTGTTATTTGGTCATCTGAACTATTGAATTTATCATAATATATGTATTGCTAAATCAAATAGTTATAATATATTATATCAAAGCTTAAAAGATATTAATACGAAAAATGAAATTCAATTGTACATAATGTGTCAACGTTGGCTGAAGTTGAATGTTTTATTATTAACTTTTTCAACACAAATATAAAATAAGTCAAAATTATAGAATGTTAATAAAAATAAAATAAATATATATATTTTTTAAAATTTAAATTTGGCTTTATTAAAGAATTACGATCTATACAAGGTACAATAAGTAATAGTAATAAACATTTACAGACAATTAACAGGAATAAACATTTACAGACAATTGACAGGAATAAACACACGAAGAGGAAATCACATATTTGTGACACCTCTTACATTTATAGGTAAGTTTTAAACTTAAGTTATCATATCACGGCACCATTTCCTTTTGAGACGTTTGGTTGGATTACCTGGAAGTGTTAGTGAAGCTAACTCATTGATTAGTTGATTAGGAATAACTTGAAGTTTGGCGTGGAAGCGTTTGTAGTAGGTAGCTGTATGGTCAATGGATGGTAATTTGAGGTCGTAGTTTATGGTCTCGTTCGAGACGAACTAGGGTGCACCAGTGATTAAACAAAGAGTGATGTTTTGAAAGGCTTGTATGGTTCTCTTGTTTGAGTTCTTAGCGGAACCCCAGATTACAATACCGTATGTCCAATACAAATATTTATAGTAATTTTTTCAAAAGTTTATTATATAGCGAATTTTTATTTGTGGTATTTTAACCAATTGTTTTTACGATGTTCTACCCAAATAGTGGATTAGATATTCAGATCATATCCATTATACCAGTTAGTAACAATGCATTTTCTAGCATTTTATTAGCTTTTAAAAATTTAATACTTTGAGTTAGGGAACTATATTTTACCTGTTGTTATTAAATTAGGTATATGTAATTTTTTCTAAATTATGTTATTATTATTATTATTAGGAATTATGGTTATTATATATTTTACAAAAAATTAATCTAAACATTCATAATGATTTACTTGACATTTTAAGAGTGACATAGAAGAAGTTTAAAAATGTTGTAGGTAATAGGCAGTAGGCACCATAAAAAATGCGGGTCTGCGTATCTATAAACTTATGTTATAGTGTTATGAGTTATGACTTATGGTAGGTACCTATATAAACATTAATTTTATTTATATGCATTGATGAGGGACGATTACAGTCCTCAATATTCAATACCATAGTCTATAGTAACTAGTAAGGCGTGTAAGTACTGATCCTCTTCATATGCTAATCCTACATTCGTACACTTCGTACAGCATTGTTTGAATAATCGAAAATGAAAATTCAAACAACCAATTGTGGTAATTGTTTAATTTCGTTTTTATAAAATTGAAAGTTTGAAAAATAACTGATGTCTAGTTTACATTTAAAAAAATATATAAATGCCAAATTTATTATGTTTAGATATTTACTTGTAAATCGTAAAAGTGTAAAACATTTCACAATTTACAGTGTTACAATTTACAAAATCTTTTAATTCGTCCGTTATGGACGACTGGTCTATGGTTCTATTATACTTCAATAATACCTATTTAATATTATAATGTATTGTAATATGATATTACTCTAAAAAATATGTTTGTAACGCCATTGAATATACAATTTTTTTAATAAAAAATATAATTGAATGAAATAAATATAGTGAAATGATTAGGTACAATTAAAGTGAGCTTATATAAATAAATAAATAATTATATCAAAGGACGAGTTTTTTTACTGATATTCCAATTATTATCATTGAGTTACTTTTTGTTATCTCTATTTTCTATTAAATGCTTATATTTTTTATCAAAGTACAGTACTACAGTATACACTATACACTTTGAATTTTTATTTTTTGATTAATATTCTCACTTCTTACTTCTTAGTTCTAAGTTTCTAGTCGATGTATTATAAATATTGAATTAAATTCCATAGGTTAGGTTTAGGTTTCTACTATGGATCTTTTGAAAGCTGAAATAGAAAAGAAAAGAAAACAATTAGAAGATGCTAATTTATTGGTAAGTAATATTTACATAAAATATTTAATATTGTTTAGTATACTGTATTTGATATTAATATACTTTTATATTTTATTGTGTAGAATCCAAATAAAAAGTTCTTTAAAAGATCCGATTTATTAAACAAAGAACGAGAAGAATACTTAAAAAAAAGTACTATACAAATCGAAGGTCTTGAAAATCCAGTTGAAAAACAATCATCAGGTTAGTATAGTTTTTTATACTTACATAGATTGATAGATTTGAGTGATATAAAGATGTTTGTTAACCTTATTCTAAAATTAGAATTATAGAAATATTAAAAGATTGATTTAATTATGGTTTATTTTATCATAATTAATATACTATTCGTAAAAATATTGTTTAAAAATTATTAAGATAATGTTATTTATCATTTATATATTATAATTATTAGTTTATTAATTTCATTTGAATAAGTTAATTTGTCTTTTTGTATGTTATTTTTATAATAAAAGTTAGTATTGCATCATATTAGTTGATACTATATTAATATTATATTGTATAATATTTAAATTTAGGTAAAAATGATGGAAAATAATTTCCAGGGTATTGTCCAATAAATTTTTTTGTGGTAAAATTATTTTAAATAAACTGTCTTCAGTAAAGTAATTTAAATTTAAAAAAAAAAGTTTGGTTAGTGAGTACCGTTCTGCTGTTCATGTGTCCAGTGTCGAGTGGATCCCATTAATGAGTAAATCCCCATGATAGATTTTATTAAATTTGAATTCAATAATAATCCATTGTATACAATAAAAAATAATTCTGAGTAGAGACGGTTTAAATTTTGGTAACCATAGTTACAGCACAATTATTTTAATAATTATATTATAGATAATTGTAATTATCTGACATGATAGTAAAAAACTGTGTCTTGATAATCTTATTGTTATAAGTAACAACTATAGCACAATGTCAATTATAAATTTTAAATAAATACCTACAAGTTTCACTTTATTTAAGGTGTTATTCAGTGTTTGACAAAGTTTACTAATTTTATAACGATGATAAGACTATTGTCTTATATAGCATTTCTCAATCTGTAGAATGCAGAATACTCAAAAGTTATTAGGATAAGTGATACTAGGAAATCTTTAAAATATAAAGTTCTTAGTTATAAAAGGGTTGAGAATTTCTGTTATAAAGTAATATGATGTTCCTCATTTATTCCATTTTCATACTTTTAGTACATTTTTTTTTTATATTTTTAACAATTTTACTATGAACATTCTTTATTTTTGTAATTTTTTTCTACATATTTTTACTATTGACATTTTATATTTAGATATTATTGTATACTATATTAAAATATTACCTATTTAAACATAATAATTGTTTAACAATAAATTATTAGGTAGTGGTGATGAAAATAATAGTACTACATCTGAAAAACACACATTGTCAAGAAAAGAAGTAATTCGGAGACTAAGAGATCGTGGTGAACCTATTACATTGTTTGGAGAATCAGAACTTGATTCTTTTAAAAGATTACGTAGAAGTGAACTTGCTGAACCAGAGTCAAACAAGGTATGACTTTAATTTCTGATTTTACTATTTCTGAATTTTTGTACAAAATATGTTGTGATTTAGGGTTTTAGAAATGATTTTCAAGAAGCATTAGAGAAAGTCGATCAAGATTATTTAGATAAGCTGATGACAAATAAAGCTCCTGAAAAGACTTATACAGAGTTGGAAAGCATGGAAGAAGCAATGGCAACTTATGAAACCATTCAATCTAAAGCTGGTATTTTAGGAAGAAGACGTGATAGATCTCAAGATATGGAGATTATTCTACAGCTTTTACAACTATTATTAAAAATGTGGGAGGTACAGCTTAATGCTAGATCTGTTAAAGAAAAAGCTAGCACAAAAGGAAAGTTAGCGTTAGCTACTTATAATCAAACCCAAATTTATTTAAAACCATTATTAAGAAAACTAAAAAATAGTAGTTTATCTGATGATATTTTGGATAGTCTAACACTTATAACAAAACATATGTTAGAAAAAGATTATTTAAGAGCTAGTGATGCATATTTAGAAATGGCTATTGGCAATGCTCCGTGGCCTATTGGAGTTACTATGGTTGGTATTCATGCTCGTACAGGTCGAGAAAAGATTTTCTCTAAAAATGTAGCGCATGTACTAAATGATGAAACACAAAGAAAATACATTCAGGCTTTGAAACGTTTAATGACTAAATGTCAACAATTTTTCCCAACTGATCCATCTAGATGTGTTGAATATGCTCCAGATACATAAAATATTATTACTATCAAAACATAAAAATATTAATTTACTGTATTATATTATAATGACTTAAGATGATGTATAAAATTAATGAAACAGATGATTATTAAACTACAAATTCTAAAAAATGATAAAATTCAACTTTAATTATTATTTTTTTTCTCCCATTTCCTTTGATCTATTAGTAGCTGCTTCAACTGCATCCATCATGGCATATCTATATGAATTATTTAGAATAGTAATTGTTTATTTTAAATTAATAATTAATTGAACAATATTATGTTTACCTAACTCCTCCTTTTTCTAAAGCATGTATAGCTGCAATTGTCGATCCTCCAGCTGATGTTACCATATCCTTTAGTTGGCCAGTATGTTTTCCAGTTTCTAAAACCATACGACTTCCTCCAGCCATAGCACTAGCTGCTAAACGTACAGCTAAGTCACGTGGAAGTCCTTGTTTTACACCACCATCTGCTAATGCTTCAATTATAAGAAATGCCTAAACAATTAAATTAAATCTATATTATGTATTTAATTAATCAATTTAATAATAACTAAATTATATACTATATAAACCTATTTTGTAATATGCAATTCTTACATAAGCAGGACCAGAACCCGAAATTGCTCCAGCTGCGTTCATTAATGATTCTGGTATAACTTCTACACTACCCACAGCACTCATTAACAGTTTAACTTTTTCCAAGTTCACTGAAATGTCCTCCAATTTAGCTTCATTTAGGTAAGAAATAGCTAAAAACATGCATCAATAATAAATAACATTTTAAATTGTTAATGTCAACCATATTTAATAGAAAGATTATTGATTAATGGCTAAATCTATGATATTTTAAATCAAATATAATTTTTAGTTAAAAATAATTAATTTTGAACATTAAATTATATTAATTTATGTTTCAAGCCTAGCTTAATTTTATTGTGATATTGATAAATAAATCTCCTTTTTAACTACAATGGTGTCGAATGAAATTTGAATTGGCAGTTCAAATAACTTGAATGGCCCGTCCATAAAATACATCATGCTATTCCTTTAAACATCTTTTTATATATATTTAGCTATATACTAATTTAAAAGGAAAAATGATCATGTAATAAAGGAAATAATTTAATTTTTGATTTAAATATTTAGTAGTACTCAGTTTTTTTAACCACTTGCAAATTTTACACAGAAGTTCAATTGAACTATCTGAAGTACATATCATAAACACATGTATTTATATTAGCTTGTAATAAGATAGCAAGAAGTTAGGCTAAATTAAATAAGTAGTACAGCTCTAATTTTGTAAAAATGTTATTTAAACAAACCTGAAAATCCTTCTCCTATTAGACTAGGTGTATTTGGCATAACTTTGAATATAACATTAGATTCAAACATGAATGCCTAAAATAATAAAAATAAAATTATACACTCATTTATAGGTAATCAAAATTAAATTATTACATCATGTTTGATGACATAGTGATTCTTTTATCATAAACTATTCATTATTTCAATAACAATTTTTATTATTTTTTGAACGACAATAAACATTTTTAATTTCATATTTTTGGAGTATGTTAATAAATCAAAATACTCTAAAATTTAACAATTACTAAAAAGAAAAAGCAACAATATTTTTAATTCTTTAAAATATAAATAATACTCAATAAAATATATTAGACTGAAGTACATAAATTTTAATTAAAATGTTTTACCTTTTGTAATGTGTTTAGTGATATTCCCGCCATAATTGATACCAAAATATTTAAAGAACTCTTAGCTGTTAAAAATAATTCTGATGTAACCTTAGGAAAATATTGGGGTTTTATAGCTAAAAATACTATTTTAGTATTAACAAACACATCATCTGAAAAAAAATAGATAACCAATGAGCCAAATTGTTTTAACGTACATCATCTAAACATCATAAATACAATTGCTATAAACCTACTATTATCAGTTGTTACGGCTGCACCAATATCTCTCCATACTTTTTTATTATTCTCCGAAGGCGATGATACAATTAAATTTTCTGCTTTACATATACCTTTCAAAAATTAATTAAAACAAGCCATTACATTAATTTTAGTATTATTATAAAATAGTATAATAAATAAATACAATATAGTCTCGATAGCCGGACACCTGATAATATTGTAAATGTGGTAATTCGGATGGTATAAGTCCATTTATTCGTAAATACATTTATAGTTTGTTCGGAATTTAAAGTAACATTCATATTTAAGTCCTATTATTATACACATTTTTTTTTTCTAATTCATTATGTTAAAATTACTTAGTATTTTTGTAGTTTAAAGTTCAATAAATATAAAGATGATGGAATTAAAAATCAAAATCTTAGATATTTAATTAGGTAATTTTTAAAATATTTGGTAATCTGAACAATGCTCAGTCTGAATTAGTCCGAACTATCAACACTCTAATTTATGTAATTTTCTTTGATATTTTGTAAGCTAATAGACTATTAATTATTTTCAGATTTTGTAGAAAATAAAATTAAACTATAAGTAGATTAAATTTATATAAAAAGAAAAAATAATAAAATGTTATGTACAAAAATTAAACATACAAAGTTACTTAGGTAATTAACAAAATGAAAAACCTATTGAAATATGATATTAAAATATGTGGTAAACAACTTTTTTATGAAACATAAACTAACTAAAATTATTTAATAAATTTACCCTTTTTGATAAAAGCAAGTCCAATAGCTTGAGCCATATTTCCTGAGCCTATGAAGCCAATTTCATATATTTTATGAGGGTCATAGTTGAACTTAGACATTATTTAATATTTAAGCAAAAATATTAAATGATTTTTAAAATTAAATTTTTGGTTTAATTATTATCAGCACAAAATAAATTTTAAATAATCTATAATTGAAAACCTAACATAAAATGAGGATGGATATTGATCATTAGATAGATGTATTAACTATTGTCTATTGCATATTTAATTAATTAACAACGTTTTATCACAATAACAGTATTAATTATATGGATATAATAATAATTTATGGTATAATAATTAATAACTATAATATTATTATATTCAATATCAATAATATTTAATAATTATATTAATTCTATTCTTCTATCATATGGTCATATGGATATGAATAATCACGCATTGATAAGCGATAACGCATTTGACCATGTCAACCCTAAAATTATATTAATATCTATACTTGGATAATAGTGATAATACACAGAGTAATTTAAAAATAGAATATTTTTATTTATACTTATTATTAGGGATATTGAATACATTATTAATTTCAATACACATTATAAGTGTAAAGTGTAAAACAAAGGTTGTGAAGTATCATAAAAAAATGAAATATTTTAGTTTAATCTCGTATATATATTGTTAACGGCGGCATGACAGTCAACATCTTACATCGTCATTTATTATGGTGAGACGCGCAAACACGACCAATTTTCGTTGATTTAGACTATTAAATTAGAGGGCACTTTTAAATTGTATGTAGCTTATAGATTTAAGATTAGAATACTGAATAGTGGAAATTCGATAACGGTAAATGTTGGAAATGTTTGATAACGGAAAATCCGGGCAGTCTTTTTGCCTGACAATAAACTAATGCTAAACGTTTGCAAATATTGTAAGCTTCACGTTTTATACATATTACATGGAGTATTGGAGTTTAATACTTCGCCACGATCAGTGGAATACTATTGTCTAATGTCTATCACGAAAAACCCATGAAATATTTTTGTCTCATAACATAGTTGGGTAACATCACAGATACGTATAATTATATATTTATACGTATAATATATGTCTGTAGATAATATACTTCTATCACAATTGAATTTTTTAAAGATTAATTACGTTATCACTTATCAGATTTTTTGATTATTATTATCAATGAACTCTGAATTATATTTTTTCTATGGGCTTATTGACTTTTCCAAGACCCATGACGTAAAAACAGACCAATCGGGCACCAGACATCACTCTCTAACAACTACACCAGACGTAACCAATTTCTCCTCCCACTATCCCGTTATAGTCTATCTCCCAATGTGCTATTATTTTTATTATTATTACTATATTTTAGAAAGTCAAAAAAAGTTTTTGTTGTTCTTCTCAGTTCTTGTTTATCACACTTATAAGTAGATGAGTTGTTGTAATTTGTGTAAATACTAAATACTAGTAAATACTAAATGTTGAGAAATTTACTCGCACCAAAATAAACAAGAAAACTAAGAATAAATATGTAATGTTATTTTAAATTTATATTATTTTTACTATGATAGGTATTTATTACTTTTTTTTTATCAACGTTTTATCAGAGTGTTTATTTGTTTCAAATATTATTACGTCAAAAAGTAAATTTGTAAATGTTTGGTAACTGAACGAACCAAAATTGCTCATTGAAATGTTTCAGTATTTTATACATACTTTCTATATAATCATATAGATTTATGATATTATTTAAAAATATTAAATCTGTAGTCGTCTTAAAATTATATAAATAGTGTTGATCTCCAGCAACATCTGTTATAACGCCTCTGGCGCACATATTTTAAATACGCTGTATGAAATCTGTGTCAATGAATGCTGGTAAGTTTTTATACTTTCATTTTGATGATATATAGTATTAAACATTTTAATTTTCATTGAATATTAAATTAATATAATTGTTTTTTGGTATTGTTTTTGTACAGTTTACATAATTTAGTTCTGCAACAGTTGATAGTTTTATTTTTTTTCACACTATGTAAAATTAAGTTTACAAACATGTTTTTTGATATATGTTATCCAATTGTTATTTAATGTTAAATAAATGAATATGTGCAATTTTAGAATCATTTAATATAAAGTTTAAACATCAATGAGTACTAACCTGCTGATTTAATTTATCTAATATATGTTTTGTATTAGAAACAATGTACCTACTGTATATGTCATGATCATGATTGTATGAGGTTCTTATTAATTAATAAAAACTTTATAATTCAAGTAAATTGTGAGAAAATTGTTAAGAGAATTTTTATGTTTCTATTGTTTTGGATATTGTTTTTTAAATGTTTGATTTGTCTGATTTTTTTCTATCTAAGAAATAAAAAAATAACAAAATAAAGGTATAATAAAGTATTTTGTATTGTTACAATCAATTGATTGTAGTATTATTTTAATTATACAAGACTTAGCTAAGTCATAGGTACATCTAATTAATTTTATCTTTGTGTAATTCAATCAAAATATATTTATCAGTTCATTATCATTCCTTATTGGTAATCATTTATAATAAAGTAGATACTGTACTAAAATCAATGATTCACTCATTTGAAATTTAAATAAAATATTTTACCTTTATATGAAATAAAGTTTGTTTGTAATAAGAAATTATGTTTATGGAATTAAAAAATTATTCTTTTGACTTGTGTTAGTTAATTTAGTATATGATAATCACATTATATGATATATTTATTCTTTAAAACTACTTTGTATTATATGTGATCTATTTTGGCTTTTTGACTGGTTGTTATATGTATTGTTATATAATGTTCAATGTATTGATGTATCTTATTTTATTTTTTATCAAAGGTATTTAATTAATATTTTGTTGGTTTGTATGTAGATTACTAGAATCAATTTCAAAAAAATATTGAAACACTTTAATTTTATGTTTAGTATTATCACTTATTAGACGTTTATTTATTTTTTATTTTAAATTAGTGAACTTGGTTATAGATATTTAAAAAAGTCAGAAAATAATTATCATCCTAAATTCTAATCTTCCTATTAAAGACTATTTAGTATATGTTAGGGATAAGCGGGGATAAGTATAGAGTAAAACTTCTTTAAATGGTCATGTCTATGACTCAATAATTCAGTCATATTGTTTAGTACCATTAGTATAGGTATTTTATTAAAATTTGCTCCATGAGTTGGTCATATGCTCAACTCTTTATAAGAAAATTCCTTTGAATTATTATTGAATTTAAATACTTTTGAAAACCTTAATATATTTCAGTGGCTTTTGTCTAATTACTTCCAAATGTTAAGTAAAATAAAAGTATGGGCATTTGTTCATTTTTAGAATATTGTTTACTTTGAATGTTTGAATTTTTACTCGGAAACCTCTCTTGTATTACCTACCTAATAAATTTAATGACTATATTATTTTACTTATATTTTCATTAGTCATTACTCATTGTTGGTTTTATATATTATACCTATATGTTTAATGATTAAATAAATTAAAAATTTTTATTTACTTATATTACGAGGACTTGAATGTTTATATATCCTTAATTACATTAATATGTATGTATTTATGTACAACAAAAAATAAATTGTCAACATTCCATTAATATTTAAGCTTATGTACCTATTTTTAATTTAATACAATACAAATTGTATACTATTTTATTAAATTTAAAAATAATTAAAAAAATATATTTTTCTATAAAAATACAAAAAAAAAAGCAACAGCTAAAATTACTAAAATTATTAATTTATAAATTTATATTCTAAATCCTTTCTCTAAAATGTTTCTTTACTTTTATCTATTCACATACCTCATTTTTTTTTATCAAATATGATTATTTTTTATAAGCTATGTTCTTAAAAAAAATATATATATGTCAAATTAAAATGGTATTATTTTATTCAATTGAACATAAAACAAAGTTGTATCTAGGTTAGCATTAAATTGAATTAATAGAAATAAATATGTAACTTCATAAAAATCTAAGCTCTATTAATTTATAATGACTAGTTAAAATTACAATAAAAATAAATTTAATTCAAAGAAATTAAAATATTGATATTTTATGAATATTTTAATCCTAGTTGTATTGCAATAAACATTTGATTATTCATTAGTTTGTTATGCTAGTATGTACAATTTTTGCAATGTAGTATCTTAATTTATTAAATTCCATACCGCCCAATTTATCAAGTATGTCTGAATGAATGTTAAACTACATTCATTTAGATTATTTTTATTTCATATGGTGTGAAAAACGGCCACGTTTTTGTTTATTATTATGATTTAGTCTATGCAAGTAAACGTGATGTTTTTTTTTTAGATCTAAATTTTGGTATGATTGCATAATTATTGTTACCTATTACATTTAAAACTACTAAGGCAATTTTCTAACAAAAATAATATTTTATGTTAATAATTGTTGACTAAGAATTCATAAGAAGGTCTTCTTTAGGTCCGATAAATACTTTAAAAAATCAATTATAAAGTTTTTTTTATATTATTTACTTTTATCTGTCAACATCAGAATAATTTTTACATATTTTTAATAGGTAAAAAATATTTTTTATTTTCATAGTGGTTTTTTCTTTTAATTATAATATACTCTATAAAGTATAAGTTAAATTAATATAATATGATCAATTAAATTAAATTATTTTTTGTAAATATTGAAATATTGACTTTAATGTTCACTTCATTATCCAATATCCATAAATAATAAATAAATTAAAAGATAATTTTATTTTTCATAGATTTTTTAACTAAATTTTTATTTGTAACTAATTATTCTAAAATTATATAACAGGTTTGTTTTCTCTATGCTAAATCTATAATTATAATATTTGCTACATTTTTTTAAAGTTTTTCATTTATTATTATCAATGTCATCCTAAAACATTTAATTATTTGTATACTTTTTCTTTTAAGTAAATTAAAAATTAATTGATATGCTATAATTTATATAGGTTTATGCTAAATTTAAAAAGATTTAAAAGTACCTATATTTAATTGTGTATTTATTGTTAGTTTAAAGTATTTGTTAATTAGTTTTTTGAAATAAATTATTAGTATTTATTATTAATATTTATGTATATGTATGCAATTTATAAATTATTATTTTCTGTTTTTAAAACACTGTGTGTGGTTAAATTTCTTATTTATTTAACTTTGTGCTATACAATTTTTCTTTGGCTTCTTTAACTTATAATGAAATTAAAACTTAT